AGAGGGCGAGCGCTGGAGCTACACGAGCTTCGCCGCGGCGGTCATGCCGAGGCTGTCTTTATAGCTGAGACGCCGGCCGGGGCCCCGCCCGACCGCCTCGGGGCTGATCCGGCCAATCAGGAGTGGGAGCGGGCGCCGGGGGCGGGGTTTTCTCCTGGCGGGGCTCGCGGGAGTAGACGAAGCTGGCTGTGGCGCAAGCCCCCGCCCCGCCTGGGCGCGCCTCGGAGCAGCCTCAGCCGCGGGCTGAGGGGCCGCCGGGGGCCGCCTCTCCCTGCCGCCCCCTGAGCAAAGATGCAAGAAGGTAAGGCCCGGAGTTCGAGGGAGCTCAGCACTCACCGCCTCAGCCGCCTCCAGGGACCGTGCTGCTGGGGAGCCGGGCGGAGAGGCCACTTCACGACCCCTCCGCGCGGATTGGGCCCGGCTGCCCCCAGGCGTGGGGGTCTGACTGAAAAGCCCTGCGAAAGAGCGGAGGGGAAGGGGCGGTGGGCAGCAGGTGCCCGGGAGACCACTGGTGGGTGTCCGCCGGGGAACGGGTTAACGTCCTCTGCCGGTATAGAGCTGATGAGAACCTGCGACCGACCGGCAGGGCGGCTAAATCCACCGCCCTGTGCCTACACTTGACGGCGGGAGCACGTCTGCCATCCAGTATCGATCGAGACGGCGCGCGTCTGTGATACTATGAGAATTCATCTGGGAAGAAGGGCTCTCAGCGCGGGAGATCGTGCGTGCTGGCGAGCCTCTGGAGCTCAGAACGCCAGCACGTTTCTCGGCCCTGGTCCTCCGGGCTTATGAGTGCCCCTCCCCGATGGGAACAGGAGTGGGGAGGGAAAATAGGATCTAATTTTCGATTGTCCTCACATAAAGTGGTTTCTCCGTTCACACTTCCCACTTGTACTACCCAGAGACATGACTTAATGCCTAACTGACCTGGTTAGCATGGAGTAGATTGAGTGAGAAATACTGGTGGAATCAGCATTACATCTGCTTCCCTATACATGACAAGTGATACTTTGCAAAAGGTGTGGACTGTTATCCAGCACCCTGCAATGTGCCCAGCGCTGTTTTAAGAACTAGAAGAGATTTTAAAGTTTGTAATACTAGCCGAACGATGAAAAAAATTAGACAATTTTAACAGATGAAAAGTGCCAAAATCCATAAGATAATTAAGTCAAATGTGGGAACAGGAAGGGGAAAGCACTATGTGTTCAAGTCTCTTTACTAAACCCAATTGAAGAGAAAAACTGAGGGAGGTGTTTTTACAGTAGACTATAGCATGACAGATCTGATCATCAAAAAAACATATTGTCTCCCACCTAGTGATTGAAGTATTTTTACATGGAGAACATTATTTGGGGGAAGATTTGGAAGTGATTATATATTTATTAATCATTGACTATGTTTTAGGTATTCTGCATAAGTAGTCTCTAACCTCACACACACGCACACACACACACAAACACACACACACCACAAACAAGGAAGAAAATATCATTGCTCTCTTTTTTTGATGAAGGGTTTGAGCCATAGAGAAGTTGGATAACTAGCAAAAGTCATGCAGAGCCCAGGTTTAAACCAAGGTCTGGCTAATTCCAAAGCCCAGACTCTTTCTACTACAATGGGCTTAAACTCTTTTTTCCTTAATCCTGTCCCACAAATTTAATAGAACACACACACGTAACTGAAACAAAAGTTTTAAAAAATAATACTTCCCTTAACTAGGTGCAATGATTCTCATATTTTCTATCCAATTTATTTTATTTTATTTTTTTAAATACAGGCCATAGCAAACAAATTGATTTAATAACTCACTAATGGATTAGGACCCCCAGTTTGAAAAACACTACCATTATGTTTCTCATTAAACAGCATGAATTCATACAAAATTAAATAAATGAGCCTGATAATTTATAATCAAAATTAATATTTAGAATCACTATAGGACTATATTTGAGTCCTTTAATAGTGTTGGCAAACTTAGTTTCCCAAACTGATCGTTTCTGACATGTCAGCTTATCTGTGACTTCTAACTCAAATTCTCCCTTTCTCTTTCTCCTCATAACCCAGACATGTTGTGTGGTGCGGAAAATCTGATGTAAGAATTTTATTACTTTAAGATAGCCCCTTTTCCAGGAGGATTTTTCCCCAGGGGCATAGTACTTTGTAAGAACTGCTATCAAATATTTTCTACCAGAGTTCCAATAGTTCCAATAACTCTTCCTTTCCCTTCCCCCCACATGTAATTTCATAACAACCTTTCTGGAAATTGGTGTAATGTGTATATCAGGAGATTTCAAAAAACATGTATACCCTTAATCCACCAATTTTTCTTTTAGTAAGTCATCCAAAACAAGGGCAAAGATTTATGCACAAAGCTGTTTGTCATGGTTTTATTTTTAATAGTAAATAATCAGAAACGATCTTGAGTAAAATCATGGTTAGCTATACTGTAGATGATTATATAGCCATAAAAATGCAATGACACAGACAAATATGTATACAATAACATTAAGCAAAAACAGCAGGATGCAAAGTCACCTGTACAATAAACAGCTCAATTATGAAAGAACAAAATGCATAAAACATGGGGGAAATGTGTCAAAATGTTGTTGAGATTGCCTCTAGTTAGTAGGAATTTAGTCTTTTTTTGGTTTTTTTTCCTAACTTTTTTATTAAAATGTTCTGAAATAAGCATATACTACTCTGATAATCAGAAAGGGAAAAAAATCATGTAAAAAGCTGCCTTAAATCCTTTCTGTGTTAAATGTGGTACCCTTCCCCTAGGATACTGCAACATCAAATGGATAAGTACAGATAAGTAGCATTTTCCAAGGCCATCTGTTTGAATTCTGACCCTCGGGAAGAAATGACAAGCCTCTATCATGCCACAGGCCTTCCAGTTGAAGTACAATTGGGGGAAGAGACTAGGGATAAAAGGTATAAAGAGTTAAAAGGTGGGAAAGAGAAAGAATTTAGATACATATTCCCTATTTGGGTATAAACCTAGATGATCCTTCAAGATATGAACACTTCTTTCTCTATTTTCTCACTTAGAAATTATGATAAATAGGGCAGTGCCCAGCAGGATTGTGAAATCTGATTATCTACATCCTTTCTCTTAACAATGACAATTCCTCCTTTTAAACACCTTCATTTGCTTTCAGTTATACTTTGATAAAAACTCATACACATTGGATTATCTCTCAAGCTATTTACATTTTAGGCTTTCTATTTCTAATTGTAAAATAAATTACTCTGATTTAAATTCAGAAATTTTAGCGCTGGCCCGAGGCTTACTTGAGAGAGTGTGGTGCTGATAATACCAAGGCCACGGATTCGAATCCCTATATAGAGATGGCCTGTTCGCTCACTTGGGAGAGCGTGGTGCTGACAACACCATGTCAAGGGTTAAGATCCCCTTACCAGTCATCTTTTAAAAAAATAAAAAATAAATAAATAAATTCAGAAATTTTGAAACAATAGAAATCAAGACTTTTTGAAAAGAGAGATTTCATCTTACCTTAAAATTATAGGGTATATAGGGCCAGCCCAGTGGCGCACTGGATAAGTGCGCCACTTGGGAAGCGCAGCGGCGCTCCCGCCTGAGGGTTCGGATCCCACATACAGACCGGTTCCCGCTCACTGGCTGAGCGAGGCGCGGGAGCGACACCAAGGGTTGCAATCCCGTTGCCGGTCCCCGGTCCAGTGCGGGGGCAACACTGAGGGTTGCGATCCGTTGCCGGACACGGAAAAAGACAAAAGACAAAAAAAAATAAAAATAAAAATAAAAAAAATTATAGGGTATATAAAACAGACTCATGAATACCCTACTTTTTATCACTTGAACAGCTGAGGGATTATTCAGAAGAAACTCTATTTCTTCTGATTCTTTGCCCCTTCACTTCTACGCAGACATGTCCCTATAAAAAGTGAACACCAGCTGCATCTACTAGAGCTTATTACCCCCCAAAACTTGGAAGTCAAATGGTCTTTCACAAATCTAAAACTGAATTCTTGAATTCCTCTCCTAAACTTAATCCCCTTCTCAGTTTTCCTCGTCTCAGTAAATGGCACCTTCATTTAATTAGCTGCCTAGGCCAAAACCCAAAAATTTTTGGCTGAAGCTAAACATGCTATATTCAATCCATTAGCAATTCTTATCAGCTCTATCTTCAAAGCATTTCCTGAATCTGAACACTTCTTAGGTTCTGTACCATTGTACTCTAGTCTCTTGCTTCCACTCTTGCCCTCCATACTGTATTTTTTGTTCAGCAGCAAGATGAATTCTGTTAGAATATAGATCTGATCGTTTCACTCTTTTGCTCAAAATCTTTAAATGACTTTCACTACATTTAGAATAAAATTCAAAGCTCTGCTTGGTTCCTGGATATTCTTAAACCACATCTCCCACCACTCTCTTCCTCATTCAATCTGTTCCATCCACGTTGGTTTCCTTATTTTCCTTAAAGGTGACAAGCACACTTCCACCTTGAGGATGTTTCTTCTGCTAGAATGCTCTTTCTTCAGATATGTTCACATCATTTTCCTTAACTTCTTTTGGGTCTTTACTCAAAGAATACCACCTCAGAAAGATCTAGAGACTACCCCCGGTTTGTACCCCCATCACCCTTCATCATTTTCTGTCACTGTACTCAACTTCCTTTTTCTTCATGGCATTTTTCACTATCTGTCACTATATTATGTATTTTTTTATTTGTCATTTGTCTGTTGTTTCCCAGCAAGCAATAAGGTCCATGAAGGCAGGTTGTTTTGTTCACAGCTGTATATCTAGTATCTAGAGCAATGCCTATGTAAATGATATCTAAAATTATGAGCCATCAGATTTTAAAAAGTATCACAGTTTCCTGTTGCTTCAACCTACAGACCTGAAGTCAATGCTACCTGAGCACAGAGGACAGTAAACAGGTGTTCCAAATCATAGGCATTTGGGTATCTTGGTGTAGAGAACTGAGAGGAATAGGAAGGT